GGAAGGAAGGAAGGAAGGAAGGAAGGAAGGAAGGAAGGAAGGAAGGAAGGAAGGAAGGAAAGAAGGAAGGAAGGAAGGGAGGAAGGAAGATCTTCCACTTACAGAGGGTTAGTAACGTGGGTTAGTAATGTGACAAGGCCACAGAGCTAGGATCAACACAAGGTCCACTGGTCCCAAAGCCAGTTCCTTCCAGGCCCTTGTGCTTCCTAATAGTGCTCTGAGAGACTGTCACTTTACATCACCTGGGAACTTTAAAACTACAAATTCCCAGACCTTGTAAAAGGCTCAGAGCTCTGGTTTGCACACAACTCCCCAAGTGGCTCTGCTCCACCTCACTGAGCACTTCTCAGGGGCAGAGGCTGCCCCCCTCCTTCCCTCACTCCCTCCCTCACTGCACTCCAACTGTGCCAAAATGCCTGAGCTCCAGAGGGACAAATGCTCAGGTCTCTGCATACCAGGGCTGCCAGAAACTCACTCCCCAGCCCAACCTACCTGTTAAAAAGTACAGCTGCCATCAACTCTTACAGTCCTCGTTATCACACCTGAGATTTACTGTACTTTCTCCAGGCTCAGCAGATGTCACCTCACAATGGGTTGGACAGGCTTGTCCTCCTGCTGCCCACAGCCCATCCCTGGGTCTTCTGCCCCACATCTGCCACCTGGCTCTCCTAGTCCTCAGCAGTGGACAGACTCCAGCTCTGGAAATCATCTGACCCCAACAATACAATGCATTTCCTTCTAGGAGAAGCCAGAGAGCAGCCTTTCTCAGATGTGGGCCAGAAACACAGGGTACCAGTGAGAGGCTCATTAATTATGCAAATCCGAGGACTCCTCCCCAAAGACAGGAGTGCAGACTCAAAGACACAAAATGCAGGAGGCCTGGAAATCTGTGTTTTCCATGAGCACCACAGGGAATCCAGGAGACTGCACTTCCAAAGTGCTATGGGAGCCCGCAAGAAATATTTACTAACCACCCTTCCAGGCTTTTTATCATTCCCAGTAAATAAATTTATATTAGACCATGCTGGCCTGAACTTGTCAGATTAATATTCTAAATATGTTTTTATTACATGCATTTAGGGACCACAGGAGAAATATAAATCACATGTAAACAGCATGAGAATTTGCAGAGTGCTACAAAAACGGGAAAGGAATGCCAACTGCCTGAGATCTGGTGTGTTATTTCCATTCTGGAGGCCCTGCAAAAGTGTCATGAGCCAGAAATGATGGATTTGTGATTTCAAAAGCACATGTGGGAAATACCACTTTGGGCAAAGATTCTGGGACTTGCCTATGGAAAGAAGCAGATCCTTGTCAACACGAATCCCACTTGCCTGATGCAGTTTTAAATGCCGTAGAATAAAGGGGCTTCACAGTCAAACATTCTTATTATTTTTTTAATCTATTTAATTGAGAAATGCCAAGTTGTTTATTTGATTGTTTGTTGGCAGAAATACAATTTCTAGAGAATGCAGCAATTAATTATTTGCAATATTGTTGATTAAATTGTATTCCTCCAAAAAGGTATGTTGAAGCCTTAGCCCCCAGGATCTCAGAATGTGATCTCATTAGGAACAGGGTCTTTATAGGGGGTGATCAAGTTAAGATGAGATCATTAGGGTGGTCCTAATCCAATATGAGGATTGGTCCTAATCCAAAGGGGAAACTTGGATGTAGAGACAGATGTGCACAAGGAGGAGGTGATATGGAAACTCAGGGAGAGTACCATCTATAAGACAAAAAACGCCTGAAGCTACCAGCAGCTGAGAGCCAGGCCTGGAAAAGATTGTCCAGCACAGTCTTCAGAAGGAGCTGACCAGCTGACAACTTCATTTTGAACTGTAAGCCTCCAAAACTGGTCAACAACAGATTTTTATTTAGTCACCCAAATTTGTACTATTTATTTCAACAGCCTCAAGAAGCTAATACATTCAACAAACCTAGAGTTTATCAGCTAACTAGCCATGATAAAACAATCACGAGAGCAATTGTTAACTGACCACTAAAGTGAGTGTGTTACAAGCACATTTATTGATTCTCAGAGTGAATAGCAAAACAAGATTATTTTATCCATTTTGCAAATGGAGAAACTGAGGCCTAGGAGTATTAAGAATGGGCCCAAATCAATACAGTCAATATCAGGGCTTGGATCTGAAAACGTGTTCCAACAGGAAGTGAAGGATGATTTAGGAAGGACTATCAGGGACTTGACTAACCAAGATAAGTCAAGGTCACAGACTGAGCTGACAGAAGAGCTAAGCTGGATTTCTGACTCCCCCATTAGGGTTTGCTTGCTCATCCTCAACAAACATTTCCCAGAATGCTAACTTAAATCATTATAGTAAATATGGAATGAGATCCCCATTCTCAGGAGGTCTACCTTTTATGAGAAAATCAGATTAAAACAACACAAAGCATAATGCAGTACTAAAACTTATAACCTTAACTATTAATAATATTATCATGTTTCCTTTGTTGAGTGCTTGCCTTGTGTCTTTGTGGCAGGTGCTGTGCTCAGTTTACCATGTGCTTTGTTCTTCTCACCGTTTGAGGCAGGACTATTCTTATCCCACTTTGCAGAAGACGTGATGGAGGCTGAAGAAGTTAGAGAGGTGACCCAGGGTCACAGATAGATAGTAAGTTCTCCAAGGGGTTTCAGAGGAGCAAGGGACCACTAAGTGCCGGATCTTTTGAGATGGCATCGTGAAGGTAAAGGGGCACCCAAGGGCAGCAAAGGGCTCAGAGAACCCAACAACAGAGAAGAGCGTATCACAGGCTGCAGAGTGAAGATAGGCAAAGGCACGGAGGTACCAAAGGCTTTGCTTGTTTGGGCAGTGATGAAGAGGCCAGTTGGCCTACAGCAAATGATCCAAGAAGGGGACATATGGGAGATTGATGAAGAAGTATGTAGAGGTTGACTGAGTGCCCTGCTCAGGAGGGGGATTTTCTTTGAGCAAGGGATTATTAAAGTGAGCATAGCATTGTGGGCAAAGCAGGAGTCTAGAAAGATCTTTCTGCTGGGAGTGTGTCTTGGTCTTGAACAGAAAACCTGGAGACAGTGAAACCAGAGAGAATCTTGTGTGTGTGTGTGTGTGTGTGTGTGTGTGTGTGTGTGTGTATGCACGTGCATGCATGTGCACATACACGTCAGTGTGTGTCTGTGTGGTTTTGGTAACAGTTCAGAAGTGAGTAAGGCCTGGAAAAAGGTGTTGCCCATAGGGATAGGAGGAAAGACAAATGGGAAGCAAGTGGGACATTTCCCAGTATCGGGAAATGTATAAAGGAGAAGGCCAAGGACTGGAACCATGGTAACTCCAAGCAGCTGAATTCTGGACAGAAAAATCTTTCCAGCACCCTATAATTTCTGTGTAAAATCAAGACAAATAAAAGTCTTTTTGCAGACTGATCTGCCCTTTTACTATGGTGGGGGAATAGGTGACAAAGATCCTGGTGTCAGAGGTTCAAATCCTGCCCTCATACTACCTGTGTACAAGCATTTAACCACTTGCTGCCTCAGTTTCCTCACCTGTATGTTGGTTATAAGACAGTACCTATGTCATAGAGGATTGTAAGGAAAGTGATCTCCGCTTGAGCCCAGTATCACTCCAGAGAAGAACAAACCAACATTTAGTAACTAATGAAAACCACTTCTCAAAAATGTCCTAGTGCTAATCTCTTAAATGTCTTCCTTTATCTCTTTCAAATCTATTTACTTCTGCATCAATGCTGCTTGATTCAGAATTACTATGCAGTGAACACTTGTCCATAATTAAATATCATAGAGAACACAGCTAAAATATAACCAAGCAATGTAATGCTTCCCCAAATCTATTCTGTACAACATTTGGCCTTGAATATGCTCATTTAAGAGAAAAAAAAAGAGCAAATAAATTTGGGAAACATTACATCTTTTATTCGCTGTTCTCTTTTGGCAATTCACAATGAGCACCATATTATATGCTGTGAGAAGACCTCAACAAAAACCGATTTAATACTATAATGACATACTTCCACACACACATTAGAATAGCCATAATCAACGGGCAGACAATAACAAGTGTTGGCTAGAATGTGATGAACTGCAGCCCTTGAAAGTGATGATCAGAGCATAAAATGGTCCCGCCACTTTAGAAGACAGCTTGGCAAGTTCTCAAAATGTTAAACATGCACTTAACAAACAACCCAGCAATTCCATCCTAAGCACCTACCCTAGAAAAACAGAAACATATGTCCACATAAACACTTGCACATGAAAGTTAATAGCTACATCACTGAAAATAGCCACAAACTGAGAATAATACAAATGCACCAATTAGACGTGGTCTATCTATACATTGGAATATAAATTGGCCACAAAAAGGAACAAATTACTAATACAGACCACAACTTGGATGGATATTAGGCTAACCACAGAAGACTGCACCTTATATGATTCTATTTATAAGAAATGTCCAGCAAAAAACAAATACATAACAGAGAAAATGGATTAGTGCCACTGGTGGGAATGGGTTTGACTATCAATAAAACCTGGAATTGGAAAAGGTGGGGAGTGATGGGAATTTTCTAACATTAGATTACAGTGATGACTTTACAACTCAATACACGCACTAAAAATCATTTCATCGTGCATCTGGAATGAGTGGACTTTGTGGTACTTAAGTGACACCTTAATAAAGCTGCTGCCACACCACTACCACCATCCAAAAAAAAAAAAATCTATTTGCTGGTGGAAATTACATTTTCTTGCAATCATGAACTTCTTTTTCCTTGGCAACTTTGTCACACTCCATGAAGAGAGAGGTTGCTCTATGTAGGTAAGTACTGTTTTTGCACCTAGAGCCTATGCTATATTCATCCCAGGATGCTGATGGATGTTCTGCCTTGAGAGCCCATGTGGCAACATCCTGGGCCATGAGCTTTCTATTGAAAAAGAGAATGAGGGAGCAGAGCCTGGTCATGTCCTGGTGGGTCACAGCTAGGGAGAGGGTTGATGCTGAAGCTTTCAACAGATTCAGTCACATCTTGGTGGAATATCAAGGGCCCAGAATTGCTGTGAACAATAACAGAAGATGGTCCCCTTAGCAAAGCCCCCTTCTATAGCACCCACTCCAGAGGGATAGGCACACTTGTCCTTGGCAAGAGTCAGTAGCAGCTGTGGCTTCAGCTGCTACTGATCTTGAGAGATTTCATCTTTAGTGAATCAGGGCTGAAGAAGAAAATAGTGGGTACCCTGTGCTTCAGAGGTGACCAGGCACCCTTCTGTGCTCCTGAAGCAATTTGGTAGGGATTTGTGGGATAAAGACTGAGAAAAAGTTGAGGCCCTCCCTGTAATCTATTTTACATGAACAAGAAAGAGGCAAGTCAACAAACTCAGATTAACAAGATGATCATAGGTGCCAGTTAGCTTAGGAGACACCACACTTAGGAACTCAAGACTCGCTGCCCCAACTATGGCATTTAATAAAACAGTAGAAGCAAGAAGTTCTCCCTTTTGCTGACTTTCTCTTTACTGCTCTCCCTTGAAACAAGTCAAACCTTCCTGAAAAGTAGGTCATAAAATCTTTGTTCCTTAGGTGCCTGCCTTATACCTCAAACAAAGGGACATCCTTATATCTGAAGACAGAAGGACACAGAAGAATCTGAACAAATGAGCCTCTGTTGAGTTGCTTCCAGTGATTACCACTGGATCACACTCTTCCATCCTCCAATCCCGCTTCTGCACAACTGTCCACAGAAATACGCAGATCTCCCCATTTCTTTGGGTATTCATTTCTCGAGGTGCCCATGTCATACAAAATGCATATGCTCTTCTCTGGTTAATGTCTTATTTTAGGGTATCCCATTCACAAACCTAGCAATGGGTGAGAAATTTCTTCCCTTATATCACCTCTTACTTTAGTTTCCCTTTTAAGAAATCATGCCAATATTGAGTACTCAAAGAGAGCAGGAGATAAAAGAAATACCTCTGCACCCTGGACAGAGGACATAAACTACAGTCCCAGAATTTCCATCAAGTTGCTGAGGGACCCTGAATGAGTCACACAATTTCTGAGGCCACTACCCCTTACTGCTCAAGTGAAGACTGTACTGGATGATTTTTATTTATTTATTTATTTAAAGCTGTAGATGGACGGCATGCCTTTATTTTGTTCACTTTTATGTGGTGCCTCGGATCGAACTCAGTGCCACACACATGCTAGGCAAGTGCTCTGCCCGTGAGCTACAGCCCCAGCTCCTGTGCTGGATGATTTCTAAGGCCCTTTCTAGCAATCTAAGTCAATATTTTCTGATAAGTATTTATTATTTTTTAAATTAATTTTTTAATTTATATATGACAGTGGAATGCATTACAATTCTTCTTACACATATAGAGCACAATTTTTCATCTCTGGTTGTATATAAAGTATACTCATACTAATTCATGTCTTCATACATGTACTTTGGATAATAATGTCCATTACATTCCACCATCATTTCTAACCCCATTCCCCCTCACTTTCCCTTCCATGCCTCTGCCCTATCTAGAATTTGTTTTATTCCTCCCATGCTCCCCTTCTCTATCCCACCATGAATCAGCCTCCTTATATCAGAGAAAAAATTCGACATTTGGTTATTTGAGATTGGTTAACTTCACTTAGCAATATCTTTTTCTGATGTATCTATAAAAATTCTTTGAACCATCTATTAAATATAGTATAACATAATTATTCTCATTTTAATATCTAAGATATTGACTCTGGAATTAAGAGCAACATTTACAAACCAAATAACCATTTTTAAAACTAATTTTATGGCTTTTTAACTCTCAAACATTTAGAACTACAATGGGTCCCAAGGCATTGTGTATGTCTCTTTTTTTTTTTTAACCACATTATACTGTTTATGTGTCTATCTGTGCCAGCAGATTGTGAGCAAGTTCAGGATAGACAAAGCCCTGAATTTTACTTATTATTGAATCTCCAACACCAAATGCAAAGTCTTGAAAATAGAAGGTTCTTGAAAATGTTTGCTGAATGAAGGAAGATGATAGTTATTCAGTGCCTAACTGAAAGCAAGTCAAAAGCACCCCATGAGCCATGTTTCTGGATAGGTTACATCAACCCGAGGACTGAAAATACCAGGACTTAACTGGCTTCTAATGGGAGACAGTTCTTTGAGGCACCATCAATCGCTATAGGTTTTGCCCCACTTAGAACCATACGGGTTCATTAGTCTGACATGGGAAGCACTTTTCTGAGCTAGTATGTTAGAATAGAAAGCTAGTTCCCAAGGTATGAGAAACAATTGATTATTAAACAAGAACTAAACCTTGTGTTTGGTTGACTGGTTGGTTGGTGGAAAATAAAATACATTAATCTAAATCCTTCAAAGTAATACCAGCTTTAGTTTGAATTTTCAGAATGGTTCTTAGTTTTAAAATACAAAAAAAAATGATAAGACAACAACTTATGGAGAAATGTATTAATCATAGCATTATTTCTAACACTAAACCTTGAAAACAACCCATATGTTAGACAACAGGGACTGAGTATATAAATCATGATGTATTTACACAGTTAAGTATTATGGTAATGTGACAATTGTGATTTTGATTAACTTTTTTGGGGGGGAAAATTGTCAACTGCAATGCCAGGTGAACTTGCTAGGTAAGTGATATATCCATGTCATTATACCAATAATATCCATGCTATTATATAACATATAAATGTGTATTTTGTTTATGCAAGAATTTCTGGGCAGGATGATCTAAAATGTTGGTGCTTTACTCCCTACAAAGCCAATTTTCTCCTTCTCTGCCCCTCTGTATTTAAAGTCTGGTCATGTTTTTCCAGTGCATGATCCTCAAACCCCCTTCAGGAGAATCAACTTGCTGCTATGTCACTCTGACCCCTGGACCCCATCCTAACCTTGCTGAGACAGAAGGACAGAACTCTGCTTTACTAGCAACCTCTCCAGATTATTCACTTAAAGTCAAGCATCACTAACCCAAGTTCTCTTACCTCAGGAAACAGTCCTTTCTTTGTGACTCACAGGCAAGGCCAAAGAGGCACCCACAGCTTCCAATAGGTAAGTCCTTTCAGGAGTTGAGCTAGAGGGAAAGAAGAAAGGGGTTGATGTTTTGACTTCCAGAGATGCCCGACCACTAGAGGAACTCAGCCTGTAGGCAGATTTGCAGCCTACAGGAACTCAGAGGACGACAGATCACATAGAGGAAAAGAGGTTGAGCTCCCTGAGAAGAGACAGCACCTGCCCCTCTTGCAGGCAGCACTCTGGATGTGGAATTGCTGTGGGATGTCTGTGGAGGCTATTTTCCCTGTAAGCCTGGAATCAGCCGTAAGAGCCCTTACCCATAGCACATCCTGTCAGCAGGATCAAGAGACCTTGAGTAGAAGTGTCTTTGGTTCATTCAAAGCAGAACTGCCAGCAGATATCAGAAAGTTGCCCCTGAAGGCAGAATCAAGCAGCAGAAAGATGGAGGAGAGGAGATCCATTGTAGCGACAGCCATGGACCAAGGAGCCAGGCACCTGACTGTTCAGGTGACTATTTCAGTAAGTGGTCTCCCAGAATGGGGAGGGAAGTCATTTCTAAGGGACCAATTTGGAACATCTTGCCAATCCTACTTTGATTTGATTTCATCAAGAAAGAAATCTTAGTGATATTTTTTGCCTTGGAGTGACAGTTGTAAAGTAAACTCTTGCCCATTGCAAACAGACAGACAGACAAGCTCTGTCATTTATAAACTGAATCACAATTGCAGTGGGTTGTTGAAGCTTCTGTTTCATGTGCAAAATGAGAATATAGGTTCTTGGCAATTGAGTTGTTATGAGAATTAAATGAATTAATATTTTCAAAAAGCTTGGTTCAGTGCCTATCACCAAGAAAGAGCTCCATGAAAATAGCTTTTATTTTATAAATACACACATAGAGATCGGCCTTTCTGTGTATTCACTATATCCTGCAGCAATGCATACCAGGGCCAAAAGGATAGCAAGAGCCTTAACTTCACCCTACAGGCAAATCTTCAGCCTTTTCAAGAGAGACCCCTCCCCCAAATTTCCCCTACACTCTGCTGGAGCAGACCCCTGACTCTCCACCCCACCTCCGTGAGGATCCTAACCACTGATATTTGTTCCCAACTGGCTGATTCTGAAGGTGAATATTTACCAAAGCAAAGATGTTACCTTTTATGGTACCTGACATGATTCAAAAGGTATTCAAACATATCATTAAATAACATCAAATCACATAGAGGAAAAGAGGATCCATGTTCAACGTTCTTTTAATGCCTTTTAATTTAATAGAAGAGTCTCTTAGGGGCCAGCTCAGCTCTCCCACCTCCTTGCTAATTTGCCAACTGTCCTTTTTAATGAAATGAAAAAAAAAACACCTGGAATTCAGAAGAGTTAAAGATGTAACATGGTATTGTTTTCATTGTATTTGCTTTTGTAGATACCCTGTATTTACAGAACTAATACAGTTTCTTTCCTAAATAAATACATAAGTTAAGAAAAGTGACTTGATATTTTTTAAAGTAAGTAACTAAGAAGAATAGAGGTGATAGATGATCCTTGCCAGAGAGAAGTTTTCAAATACCACCCAGATAGGAAATGCTGCCTTTGAGGTGGAGAAAGTAGTATTTTCTGAGCTGAATAATTGAAGTTGATCACTGAGTTGCAACTTCACAATGCTAGAAAATAGATACTTTTACTTTTCTGTTCCAGATATGAGATAACTAAGGTTCAGAAGGGTTATGTCATTTGCCAAGGTTGCGCTGCCAGTAAATGCAGGAGTCAGGATTCAAACTCTCCCAGACACACCCTTATTACATCTCCTGCTGCTAGACGATGCCTCTTGGAAACCAACAACAACAGTTGCAGGGAACATTAAATGTACACAGGACCCTATCAGCAGCCCCCAGGAGGGCCTGTGGGCCAGACACTCCACCCTCACACCCTGGGGATCTTGGCCTCCTCCCTTCTCTACCAGAGAGATCCTTAACAATTCCACTTCACCATCTAACCAAGTACACCTGGCCAAGAGCTTTTACTGTAAACAACAACTGAACACATCCTTGTAAAAATCACTTAAGAAAACTCTAAGATGGATAGAATTATACAACGAATCTCAGCAAACTTGGGTAACATCAAATTATCTTATGAAAGGGTCACTGAGTCCAGCAAGAGCCAGGAGGGGCTTTGGGAGGATGACTGCAGCCACACATAGAAGAGACACACTCAGAGCCAGGTTGGGAAGGGCTTGAATGACCACAGAGGGCGTCAGCTAATTGACACTTGGGGGCTTGAGGAGTGAGACCAGCACAGGTTCAATCAGAGGGAAAAAGATGACAAGTTTGGGGTGAGGGAGGAGGACATTGTTTCCGTGTCTATTTTTCCTGAGAAGCAATATTTCTTTTTGGAAGAAAAGTAAGAGCTGTTAAAATGAAACCCTCTTCTGCTGTACAGCCACCTGGAGGCTCATCAGACCCACCACAGCATTTATAGGTAGGTCATATTTCCAGTGGCCTACCAGAGCAAAGAGATATTATAACCCGCTGGGCATTTCAGACACATTTTTTTTCTTCCCAAAATAGAGATGATTCAAAAACAATTCTCCATGTAGAAAGCCTGCCTCAAACATAAGGAACAAATAGTTTAAACCACTAAGCCAATAATAGAATTGAGTCTGACCTTTAAGACCTCCATGACCATCAACATCAAATGAACCCTCAGAAAATAGAGTATTGACAATCCCCTTCTTATGTGGCTGGCAGATTTTGTTTTCTGATCTTAATAACGTCTAAATTCTGATACTATACCAAAGAAGTAAGGTCTGGAGACAAGCCCCCGGCTCCATTCCAGCAGCACTGCCATGGTGTGTGCCTCTCCCTGGCATTTCCCCAAGGCAGTCAGCCCCCTCCACACAGCCTGGCTAAATCCCTTAGCGGCTTCTCCAGATCTTCAAATCACTGACCTTGATTTGACCTAGAAGGACCCTGTGGTCGTGAGTTTTTTATCACTGTGACCAAAATACCTTACAAGAACAATTTAGAAAAAGCAAAAGTTTATTTTGGTTCATGGTCTCAGAGGTCTTTATTCATGGTGTCAGTGGTGACTCCAATGCTCCAGGCCTGAGACAAGGCAGAGCATCGTGGTGGAAGGGGTTGGCAAAGGGAAGCTGCTCGGGACATAATGGAGCAGAGAGAAAGCAGGCAGGAAAGGGTCATAGGGAAGGTGAACCCTTCCAGAGCACAACCCCAGTAACCCACCTCCTCAGCCACGCCCTACCTGCCCTCAATTACCATCCAGTCAGTCCATTCACACTAGATGGCATGATTAGGTTATAGCTCTCACAATCCAATCATTTTACCTCTACATATATCTGCAGTAACAGGAGCTTTGGGAGGATACCTCATGTCCAAACCATGATAGACCCTCACTGAACAATGCACTCCAGTTGGCTTCCGTTTCTCCCTTTCTGGTATCACCCCCAAGGGAGTGATCTTCTCATGCTTCACCACTGCCATGGTTCACCTATCTGTCAATACTTTAGGGGAGTTAATGTAGGTCCTGGCACCCAGCAGGATATAATATAAGATATTCTCTATCATTGGCTCATTAGAACCTTTGGAAGCCTACTCCAAAAAGTAAAAATACAGAGATGACATTAAACTTAGCAGATTTATTGTCCCAAAATAGGGCACTGGTTGCAAATTTGAACCTCAAACGACTTAAGAAACTTTGTCTATACAGATCTATGGGTTATTGAGAAGGAGCCTGGGAAAGTAATATATATAAAAAGAGGATTTAGGACTATTTCCCACACACCCCGAATGCAAGTCTGAGAGGACCTTTTCTTCATGTCTTGATTCGCGTCTGCTCTAATCTTGGCCTTTATGAATTTTTTTCTTTCTTAAAACTAACCTGTCCTTTACTACATTCTTACTTTGCCATCACCCAACCCACGGAAAAGCTCCATCCTCTAGAATTGCCTGTAGTCAGTACCCTGGCCTGTTGACTTACCTCTCCCTGCACAGTCAGGGTCTCCCAGTGTCTGCTGCCCAGCTCTGGCCATACATGCTCAACCTGCAGCTCTCCCAGCCTCTGAAAACCTCCCCACATTTCTCAGTGGGGGAAATAAACATAGAGACTTCCTAGGTTATCTTGGGGTCCCAGGTCTTTCCCTGAAATAATCATTTTTAACACACCCCCAGGGCATACCATTCCATCTCCATCTCTTCTTAATCATCTTGCGACTGCTCAGTTGCTGACACACACTCCCCCTCCAGTGCAGTACTTCTCTGTAATTAGTCCCTCCTCCTCTTCATCTTCACCCCTAATTCAGCCTTGGCAATATATAAACTTTGTAATTAGGAAGGGCTAAAATCTTGCCAGGAATGCAAACATATTTAGTGCTAGAGCCTAGCATTTTGTGCCATTCTGGGCTCTACTCCAAATCCTAGAGGAACAGACAAGGGGAAAGAAATGAGCCTATAGTCCATGTGAGGGGCTTTGTCCCAATGGCATCTAATCCCCAAAGACCTGAGAGGGGCTTAGGTAACAGAGCTCAGAGAGTCAAGGGATTTGTCCAAGGTAGCAAACCTGGAAAGGGGCAGAACCAGACCCAACCAAGATTGCCGCATCCGCTGTGATCTTGGGGCTTCCCCACGTGATCACAGACTATCACAAATGATTTCAGACTGGCACCTGATGGGCTCAGCTAACTGGGTGACAGAATTCCTCAACATGGCTCTCTCCACTGTTGGGTTTTCCTGTTCAAAAAACTCCTACATATTTGGCAAGGAAAAAAAAATTCCAATGATGTTAACATTTCTGAACAACTCTGAGAAAGCCACCAAAAGCCATCCTGCCAGGCACTCACTTGTGCAGCCACTGCTAGGTTGTAAGCAACTTACGGACAGGGTACATCTCTTAGTCATCTTTGTCTCCCATGTGGCACTGATGGTCCCACAATAAATGGGGTATTACAGAAGAAAAATAGAGAGAAAATTGGACTCTTGTGCAACTGGATCCCCAAGCAGAAACCCAGAGTCCATTAGGGCATCCTTTAAACTATCCTTGGATACTGAA